CATTTTTTCTGTCTTCTTAATTCTATCCCTTTTTCTGTTATTAGTGTTAAGTTAGTGTTTAAGGTTAGTTTTAAGGTTCCGGGTTATATTGTCGCGATCGGGATCTGTATTGTACACGTGATTTGGATACAGCGAACTATTATTATCGCTGTAATTTCGCATGCTACTGTTTGTACCGTGAAGTTGGAATCCCCCGAAATAGAATCTGTATAAAGACGCGAAATAGCTTAATTCGAAAATTATATCAACTTTTGTTACTTTATCCTGTCTTCCTTTGCGGTAAATTCTAATTTAGCACACTTTTACACTATAAACAAAAACACGCGCAGTGCAAGTCAAAACACGTCGCGTTATTAACGCAAAGCGTCAACTATCAGTCCAAGGTCACACGCACCGGCGCCGACTGAGTACGAAAGTTGAGATCCGTATCCGTATCCGCGGATCTAGATACTAATGATCCGTATCCGTATCCGCGGATATACATTTTTAACGATCCGGCACATCACTAATCTATATAAATAAAAATGTAATGTTCGTTTGTTCCTACCGATTCCTTTGAAATTTTGACCTAACGCTGCATTGGAATACGCACGTGTTTTTATATAATATACGTGTCGAAATTCCCCCCACTGAAGGGAGATGGTTAGGATTAAGGCTTACGGTAAAGAACTCTGCTTCTATTTATACTATTTTAGATGCGGGTTTTTGCGTTTTTGATTGCGTTTTAATAGGGTATGTCAACAAAATGTACACTAAGAAGGGATTTTTCGATATTCCCCGCGGGGGAGAGGGACAGAATTATGGCTTACCGTGAAGAACTTGGCTTCTATTACATTATTTTAGATGCGGGTTTTTGCGTTTTTGATTGCGTTTTAATAGAGTACGTCAAGAGAATGTACTACACTAAGAAGAAATTTTTCAAAAAATTTCCCCCCACAGGGGAAGTGTTATACATTTATAATAGATACATTTTGAGCCACAACAACGCATGGCGGGGTCTGCTAGTATTATAATAAAATGGCGAAACAATTTTGAAGGTAACGATGAATTTTATAAAAATTTGTAAATGCTAATAACAATTAAAATCTTCATTAAGTCCGATTCCGCTCTATCTCCCCACACCCTCGACCTTTAACCATCAAAATCTAATAGCATCAATACCCCTTATACACAAGCTACTGTGTCAAATTTCGTTTCTTAATCTTCACCTCATCCTGAGATATTAACGACTTTATAACTCATATTTCCATTACAAAATAAACAATTTCATTTTTAATTTCTGTAAAAACGTAAAACAAAAAAATCTTTCATTGTAATATAATCTTTGAATTAACGGATCTGGAGTCCACGGACTTAGAATTTAACGAATGAAATTCCATATTTAAGTCATTTTATTCATTCTGGTTACGGATAATTTATATTTATTCACTGTAATTTTCTATCTCATGAATATGTGGTGCACTCAGTATTTAATTTTGGGGAAACTGATAAAAATTGTTTTAATGCTAATTCAATAAACTTTCTCATATCACAATTAAAATTACAATAGATTAAACAGAAAACAGAAGAAAAAATTAATTTTCACAAATGATTTTTGTTACCGAAACAAAACTGCACCACCACAGAATTTCGCAGCTGGCATTCGATTTAACGGACATTCCAAAATACCGGAAATCTCTTCTTCCAAACTATCAATTCATAAAATTCGTGTAATTTTTTTATTTTTTACCTTTTTTTTATTAGAAAAAGAATGTACATTGGCAATTATTAGTCTTTAATACAATATAATGTCGATTATCAGAACGCGCTAAAAATATGTTTTAAACCGCAAAATCTGGTAGTCCTGCTATCGAAACATTTAAAACAATAACCAGATATCTTTGAACGATCACTGAAAGTTGGTAAAATTTCCATAAATAATTATAAGCTGACAGTATATATAAATCTGTATTCTAATCAGACCGTTACGTACAGTACGTACAAGGTCTGTCCGGAAAATTCCCGATCTTTTTAAATAAAAAAATTTCCCGTTTATATTCGATTTTGTCACTTTCAAGGTACTTCCCCTTCCAATGCATTTACACAGCAGCTTCGTTCTTTGAAGTATTCCTGCAATTCCTTTCTCGGGATACCACGAAGTTCTCGTAGTGAATTTTCCTTTACATTCTCATAATTTCAAACCAATGTTTCGACTTCATTTTTAATTCGGGAGAAGTGTATTGCTACAGCAATGAGTGTGCGGACGTGTTATTGTGAAGCATTCAGGTTTCCCGACTGTTTCCATCATTGGTTTGAGTTCAGCCTAATGCCTCATTCTCAAAGTTACCGCTAGAAATCAACATAAGCATCATTTTAGTTGCACTTTTTGGCGCGTTAAAGTTCAGAAATTTTCCGGACAGACTTTACATAACGATTCGATTTAAACGATGTTCGTTATAAAATAAAAAATGGCGGCCAAAAGATGAAATTGCAGGCAATTTCACTTTTTTCGGGTGAATGGGCACCCTGTATATTGCATATTCACATCTCATTATTCCAGTTTATATAAAATTTTACTTGTTTAACAAATGTTGCAAATTATTGCTTAATATTCATGCACTAGACTAACGCAAGATCTTCAAACCAAAATTCAAAATGCTTCTCTGAGCAGAGGAAACTCTCCATGAAAATCAGTGAATTGGTTGTGTCAGTGTAATTATTTTAACATGAACAGAATCTAGTTTAATGTTGATGCGCATTGTTTTACAACACAATTAACTATTCAACAATTTGTAGAGATGAGGAAAAATGAACTAAGTTTGAAGCAATTGCTACAATTAAAAATACTCAAAAGTGTACATTTGTTCTTTAAAATATAATTTTATTACTCGAAATTATTGAAATAAAAAATAATCTCTAATCACAATTAAATACTGTAAAACAAAGTTTCTTGTTTCTTGTTTGTTAATGAAGAAATTGCCTTTAAACAAAAATGTTGTAATTGAAAAGTAATGCATTTGGAATAAATAAATATTTTTATAAAATTGCAATATAAAATTACTTTACGGAGTGTTTTTTGTTTTATAAAATGGCATTTTGCTACAATAGAAAGTCATATAATCGTAATCATTCATAATGCTTCAATATTATAAATACTAGTTGTAGCAAATCTTATTATTTAAAAAAAAAATCCTACTTTAAATGGTCCAATGCATAGAATTTTGCTATTAATGAAAAATGCTTAGTGTGATATTTTTGTATTAAAAAATTTTGAAAGAATGACGTAAGTGCTAATTCTACAATTCGAATTGAATATTGCCAACACATTCACGAACATTCGTCACGGAGCAGTTGGAACATTTTCACTAATACTACACTACAAAAGACAATGTTTACGGAACCTTATCTGACTTACAAGTATTAAAAAAAGATTGTGGACAACATGTTTGGAAATTCCGGTCTATGGGAAAAAAACCGTATTGTATTTAAGTGAGAGTTTCACCTTTTGTCACCTGAAAAATAAAAAAGTAAGAATCAACCATGACAAATCATCATCACGGGTAAATATAAGTGACAAGCAACTAAGTTTATCCATTTTGTGAGAAATGAGCCAAATTGCCAACCACTTAGGTGTAAGCCACTTAGACTTACCCATAAATTGTGAAAAACAATATAAAAGAAAGTCTATCTACCTTCTCAGCAATGTTATCTATTTATAATAATAAATCACACACACCTGAATTTTTTTGCCGAGTTATTTTTGTTTATTCCAAACGTTTTCGGCCAATTCGTATAGGCCATCTTCAGGTTTTAATAGTTTTCGTTGTAATGGAATCATTCGTTCGAAATTCGTTTGAATTTGAACTTATTACAACTTTTATGTATAATAAATAAATTAAACTAAATATATGATAAAATGTAATCTAAAAATCGCGTTTCAATTTAACAATAAAATAAAAGAAAATTTATAACTTTGAGTTTGAAATACTAAAAACTCCAGAACATGAAAATGTTTATGGATTATTAAAACCCATATTTTTCTCAATTTTATATTTCCAAGCCGTTGGTAATGCTTTTGCATCTTTTGCATTTAGGCATCTGTCCCTCATCTTACTTCTGTAAATCTCTATTTTCTCCATTTCCATTGCGATGGAAGGTGAGTGTCCCGTCCTAACAATCTTGGCTTCATCCCATTTGACTACTGATCCGTCTGCCTGTGCCATACTTGCTAATATCGTACTATTCAGTTTTTTATTTATACTATATTTGTGCTCCTTTAGTCGTACTTTCAGGTNATGGGATGAAGCCAAGATTGTTAGGACGGGACACTCACCTTCCATCGCAATGGAAATGGAGAAAATAGAGATTTACAGAAGTAAGATGAGGGACAGATGCCTAAATGCAAAAGATGCAAAAGCATTACCAACGGCTTGGAAATATAAAATTGAGAAAAATATGGGTTTTAATAATCCATAAACATTTTCATGTTCTGGAGTTTTTAGTATTTCAAACTCAAAGTTATAAATTTTCTTTTATTTTATTGTTAAATTGAAACGCGATTTTTAGATTACATTTTATCATATATTTAGTTTAATTTATTTATTATACATAAAAGTTGTAATAAGTTCAAATTCAAACGAATTTCGAACGAATGATTCCATTACAACGAAAACTATTAAAACCTGAAGATGGCCTATACGAATTGGCCGAAAACGTTTGGAATAAACAAAAATAACTCGGCAAAAAAATTCAGGTGTGTGTGATTTATTATTATAAAAGAAAGTCTTTCAAAAAATCCTGATTCTAATTATTGTCAGTTTCACATTGATCCAGCATTTCATTAATAAAGTCAATTTCATAATTATAATATTGAATTATGAATTTGGACAATCCTACAAGGTATGTCAATACTATATCACTATCTATTGATATATATATGCTGTATTGCACATAATAATCAAATACATTGCATTTATTCAAATTAAATCAACAAATGTAAATTTTAAAACAAAATGGTAAATTTACCCATTTCATATATATAATGTCAAGTAAAGTAATACACTTTAATACTGTGTCATGGCCCTCTTCTTCGTGATAACTTCTGCAATCCTGTTGGGCATGCTCAGGATGAAATTTTGAATGATATTGTTATCCATACCCATATGCTTCAATAATGGAAGCTTTCACCTCTTTAACAGTCAGCAATTGTTGATTGTGTGTATAAATTCAGTATACCATAATTTCCCACAAATCTCAACAGTTTTGCTCGCAGGAGCAGGAAAGTCACTCAAGGACTTGTGTGTCTGCTGCCAACTATTCCATTGTCTCGCAACTAAAATGGATTGCAGTGTTATCCTTCTGGAAAACTAGTTTCATGCACTGATTTTGACAGAGGAATGGCATAAATCTCAAAAAGGATCTGAATGTAATCTGTACTCTTCATCTTCAAAGTAAATTGGAGCTTGAACTTACCATGCTGGTAAATTCCCATCCAAACCATAACACTTCCACCACCAAAGTTTCATTAAGAAAATTATGATTCCTTTTGCAAATCCTCCAATAACCATTGAAACCATTTGGTCTATCCCTATTGAATTTTTTCATTGAAAGAATAAACCACATGACCAGTGAAATATTAGGACGTGGCTATTTATACATACAGTATGTATTCACCATTGGCTATTTATACATACTGATTATATGTTCCTATATTCTGGTCAGATACTGACTGTATGTACTATTATTACAATTAATATTTTGATAATAACTACACAATTATAAATAATTAAAGTTTTATTTATTAAAATTCAGTTACAATGTTGTTCAATAAAGTAATCAATAAACTATGAAGTATCATTAAAGCATTGAAATATACATAATGAAATTTAAAGTAGATTGGTAGGTATACCTATAAAATAAAATAAATATATTATTTTTTATTCTGTATTTTAATTTTTTTTGTTTTTTGTAAAAAGTGGTCTGCTTAGTCTTTTCCTTCGGACGTCCTTTGGATTTAATTTTAGTCTTGAATTTTAAGTTTTTATTGGATTGATTTGAACAGGGCTCGTTATTAGACCAAATTTGTTCTTCATATTCTTCTGGTTCAATTGTACTAAATAGCCAATTGCATATACATACTGTATGTATAAATAGCCACTTTGGAAATATTAAGCAATGTTGAGCCAAATAAATCAAATAGAAAATCATACGTCAAACAAGTTAACTTGCACACAACTAAGCAAAGACCCTTCTTTTTCTTAAGATAAGCCTATATTTGACAATTTCACATTCACTTAGCTTAGTTCTGCATGGCATCGTATCAAAATTAAAAACTCTTTGTTGCATGCTAAAGCATTATGAACAAATCGTTAAAAACTAATTTACATAAAGTGGTATTAAAAAAATAAAATGAGAAATATTTTAATTTTTAATCTTGCCAAAAAAATGATTCAGGCAACACTATTTCATTTAACAATTCAAATGTTTTTGTTCTTGTTCGATTTACTTTGTTATTGGACTGCAATTTGAAAATATTGTAGACCTACTGTCTACAATTGGACTGCAATTTGAAAAAATTGTAAATTCCTACTGTCGTCCATCTGTCTTTCCTTAATCTCGAGAATGGTGTTAGATAAATGAAATTCAAGACCTGATATGGAAAGCTTAGGGGTAGGAAGCCCCAATTAACTATATACGAACTTCTGATGCAAACTGGAAGTCACATTATTTCAATTTAAAAAATTTCCCCTGAAAAGAGATGACTGGCATGACTCCATTGCTAATGGAAAAGTATAGTGTACAGGGGCAAGACACTACAGTACTAATTTGAGGTGGAGAGCATATATTTTAAATTAAATTAATTAAAAATTGTACCCAGCATTGTAATGATGCCACAATAAATAACTGCTCCTAAAAAAATCAGTTTATATCACTCATACCATATCCCAAATTCATAATTTTTGAGGCAATATAATAATTTTGAAAACAATTGTATATAAACTATTCAATATCAAATTATGATCACATAGATAAACACTTACTCTAGCTTCTAGATATTCAATTTTTCTTTCCAATGAAGTCAACTTCTCATTCAAAGTTGCTAATCTTGATCTGCATGACATATCTAATAAGAAAAATTAATAATTATAAATGACTATTTAATACTGAAATATTAAATTATGCATTTGAGAAAATTTTTAAATAAAGGAGATCCAAATTATTTTTAACAAGAGCACTAAAAAATTTAAACCAGTATGGAAAATAAGAAATTATTATTAATTCTTTAATTTCTAAGAACTTTACATGGTATAGTAATAAAAATAGAGCTTATTACATCTATAAAGTATATATATATAATTTAGTGGATTTTTAAAACTTACAAAAATAAATAAATAATTTGTATAATCATAATTAAGGTATTTAAAATGTTTTCCATTTTTCAATGTATATTAACCAACAAAAAGCATAGCAAATTTATTTTTATAAAAAAAACATACATATCTGCATGTTTGATAAGACAATTTACAAAGAGGAGAATGAACACAGTTATAAATTGAGTGTTATTACCTTTGTCTTCATTTAAGCAAAAACTTTATTAATTTTATGTACAAAAATGTCCCTCTTACAAAATTTTGAATAATTAATCAAAAAGAAGTTGCCCCTTAACCATGTATACAGTTTAAGAGAAGTGGGGTCACAAGAAGTATATTATTGTATACAATTAAAAGGGAGGAGGTCAAGGCATTGTCTACATGGACAGTTTTTAGTGATATTAATGACGAATTTTTTCTTATAAGGCTACTTACTGGTCATGTGAATAAACTATCAGTTAGAAAATATTTGCAGAACTTTTGAAGTCATTTCTTCAATGTCACAATTTCCTTTAATTTGTATACATAATTAAAGGAAAGTAAGTTTGCTAAAAATACTGTACATCATTGTATACAACAGGAAGGGGGATCAAAAATAGTTCAAAAACTATATATGTAATTAATAGATAGTCCCAAAATACAAATATCATTTTAATTACATATTGCTCAAATTATGTGTTTTATTGAAACTTTAAAACTCTTTTAACAAGTTAAATTTTTATTTCATACCATTAAAATAATAATACAAATAATAATACAGTGGTACCTCAGGATACAAAATTAATCCGTTCCAAAACTGAGATCGTATCATGAAAATTTCGTAAGGTGAATCATCTTTTCCCATACGATTACATGTAAAACCAAATAATTCGTTCCAACGCGAAAAACATACTCAAATTAAAGCCAAGTAATACATTTAAAAAAATAACTGTAGTAAGAAAAACAAATGAAAAATGCAAACTAATGTAACGTCGTATGGTGAGTTTTTGTTCGTATCGTGGAGCAAAAATATGTTCGAATTTCATGTCGTATCCTGGGGCGTTCGTAACCTGAGGTACCACTGTATTCTTATTGACAATCACTTTATTGAGATGAAAGAATTCTGTAATTCTGCTGAATTATCAGCAGAATCAGAGACTCCTGATAGGACTAACCATACCAATTAAGTTCTACAGAAAAAAATGAAATTAAAAGTAATCTATTAATAATGTTTAAGCTCTGTATTAGAGAACAGTCAGATTAATTTTTATATCTAGCTATATAGTTTATTTACAAAAAGAAAACCATAAAATACTATCAAACTCAATCCAATAACATCAGTTTGGATGTTGCTGGATTAAGAGTGTACATGATACGGTGATTTTGTTCCATGCCATAATTCAAGGCTAAATCTTGAATGTATGTGTTGTTTTATTATATACTTTTGTAAATTGGTAAATAAATTCACTAGCTATTTGCTGGAGATGTTTGTCAGGCTAATTTACAGTCCATTTCTTAAATAAGCACACATACTTTGGTCCATCGAGATGGATATATCTGCCATCTTGTCTTTTACGATTATTGAAACTGCAACTACAAATCAAGGTAAATTTTCCAGCACTTGTTGTTTCTTTTACTCTTCAAATTGTCATCTATTTTTTCATACTTCTGCTGTTGTTACCATGACCACCATTGAATCATTTGACGAAAGACAGGCTATTAAAATTAGGGGCATAGCAAAAAGAAAACTTTATACAGTATTCAAAAATTCCTGGACAATTTCAATTCAGAAAGGGGTAATGTATGTACTGTACAGGAGGTCAGAGTAAGGCTAAATTCCTTGCCTAAAATTTTGGAAGAATATGATTATATTCAAAATCAACTGGAAGTAAACTGAAGATCCGGAATGGTATTATATAGATAGGGAGAAATTTATAACAAGTTACTACTCCCAGTGGCAGATTTAGCAGTTGAGAGGCCCCAACTGCAATTTAATTTTGAGGCCTCCCTCTAAATATTTTCACTACTCCCTATACCTTACAGTATGCATTCTACCTGCATTCTTTTACTCTGGTAGGCACTATATAGGTGGTCCAAAAAAGTGAGACAGGGAAATAACATTGAAAATTAACCAATATAAAATTCCAACTGCTTGGCTGTATTTAAAAGGTTACTGATGTTCAGATTGTATTAATTATGAAAATTGAAACTTATTGGTACAAGAATTATTAAGTTTCAATAGGTAAAAGTGTTAAAAACAAAAAAAAATCTAGTAATCCATGGATATAAAAAAATAATTTATTTTTAAATTTACTACTGNCTTATTGGTACAAGAATTATTAAGTTTCAATAGGTAAAAGTGTTAAAAACAAAAAAAAATCTAGTAATCCATGGATATAAAAAAATAATTTATTTTTAAATTTACTACTGATTTTTATTTTGAAACCTGAATTTTAAGGCCCCAAGGTGCACCTGTGCAGAAATCTGCCACTGACTACTCCCTAGAATTACAATTAAATACACTTATTGATGCCAGATCAAAACTTCCTTCACCTCCAGGGTCTGTTGATTTTAATTCTACTAATCCTTTGATAAAACTACCCACTATCAATATTCCCTATTTTGATGGCAATGTTAGGCAATGGATTCAATATAGGGATATTTTTACAAGTCTAATTTTGAATAATGATGCCTTAAGCAAAAGTCAAAGATATCATTATTTAGTTTCTTTGCTAAAGTAAGAACAAAGATTTATTGGATAGTTTGTCTATCATGGAAGATAATTTTGACACCGCTTGGGATCTTCTGATTCAATGGTATCATAATAATAAAGGTTATTGTCTCAAATTATGTTAAGGAATTATTAAATTTGCCAAATATAAAAAATGGCAACAGCAGTGAATACAGGTTTCTTGTAAATCAAGTAACTAGGAATAAAAGAGCTTTGGAATCACTGAATCCTGAAATCTCACTACATGATACACACTTCATGATACACACTTCTTCTGGAAACTGTTTTGGACAGATTAAAACGATAAGATAGGCAAGAATGGGAGCTGAAGACTGCTGCTGATAAATTTAATTCCTTGGAAAAACTGGTTACATTCCTAGAGGCTAAGATACAAGCACTAGAATTTAGAAGCAAAGCTAATTGTATAAAGGAAAACAACCAAATTAACTGTTGGTAAATCATTCACTACTAATGTGAATAGTGAAATTTGCAAATATCGTAATAAGTCTAAATATACACTGCAAGAATGTAGACAATTCAACACAATTAGTATTGAAGAAAAGAAATATTTTCTTTGAAGAAGAACATCTATTTTTGTTGTTTAAAAGGTAACTATGTATTCCAAATACCTACAGCTATCTAGCTGTAGGTATTTGGAATACATAGTTACTACTTGTAAGAGCAAACATAATCACCTGGTGCATGTTGACAATATTGAATCAAGCAGTCCTACTTATTATTCTGTTAATTCTGGTATATCAAGTTACTGTAACATAAAGGGATTTACCCTTGATATGACTAGTCTAAGCACATTATTACCCAACTGTGTTAGTTGATGTTGCTGACAGACAAGGAAAATTGGTCAAGTGTTATAGAAGCCAAATGTCATTTATATCTAGTTCAATGGTTAAAAAGCTTGGCATGCCATTAACTAGGAATAAGTTTTCAGTGAATTGAATCAATGGAATTCCTGCTGCTAAGGTTTTGCATACCTGTTTAATAAAAATTAGATCCAGAAATAATAGCATTGAATTTAAAGTTAATTGTGCTGTTCTGGATAATATTACTTAATTTAGTGCCTAGTTCACTAATTTGTTATAAAGGTTGGAACTTACCATCTAACATTGTATTAGCTGATCCTGAGTTCTACAAACCAAGTGAGATTCATTTATTAGGTGCTGATATTTTCTTTAATGTTATTACTGGTCATACTATGCAGCGTGATGGCCACCCTACATTGCTCAGCACTCTCTTTGGTTATGTCATTTCTGGTCAAATATCAACTTATTGTTCTACTAGTTCCAGGAGAGTCATAAGTTGTATAAGTAAGTGTGATTTACTTGACAATCAACTTAGAAGATTTTGGGAACATGAGGTCACTAAAGCTTGGTCACTAGAATTACATGACCAAGCTTTATACAGGTATATACAGGTATACCTCGAGTTACGTCATTCTCGATTATACATCGTTTGTCAAAAAATATATGGAAAAATAAAAATCAAGTTTAAGTCAATACTACGTACCTCCGAAACCTTTAACCGATGTGAATAAATTTAACATTATACAATTCCTGTGTGAAGTGGCTAAGCATCATGGCTACCACAACATCGTACAAAAAATGTCACAAAAGTTCGGTGGGATGGTGGACCCTTCTGAAAGAGGTAATTCAGTAAATGGCAACCGGAATGTGGATAAACGGAGGGTACCTGTTTCTTACAACCCAGTATTAAAATCTTTATATAGTAAAATCGCTCGACAACGTAGTATATCACTTTCCTACAGAAGATGCCCTTCTGTATTTGATATGCTGCACAATGGAAAGGATAAATCTGAGGATGAAAGATTGCCAGGCGTATATAAAGTACCACTTAGGGACCACTGTTTTGACAGGGACTTAGTATACATAGGCTCAACGAAACGAGCAGTTGGGATCAGGTGGAAGGAACACATCCATGACATTCGACTTAATAAATGTTCCACATCCTTATCCACTTACACGTCTGATCCAGAGATCGTAGCAGGCTTCTCAAATGCCAAGTTAATCACCACCACCCCATATGCAGACCATCTCAAGTGGTTAGAGCAGATAGAGATATACAGGGCATACAACGATTCATCACCCATTAATTCCAAGGATGAAATCTCTCTATCTTTGGCTTGGCAAGCCCTAATGTAACAGGAAGATTAAGGGAGTCGTAAACTTAAGCAAGGAGGACGAAAGACAGTATGCATATAATGTGTTTTTTTTTTTTTTTGCNTCAAAAAAGTGGTACTTTATATACACCTGGCAATCTTTCATCCTCAGATTTATCCTTTCCGTTGCGCAGCATATCAAATACAGAAGGGCATCTTCTGTAGGACAGTGATATATTACGTTGTCGAGCGATTTTACTATATAAAGAAGGCAAGCCCTAATGCAAAAGGAAGATTAAGGGAGTCGTAAACTTAAACAAGGAAGACGAAAGGGTAGACAGTATGCATATAATGTGTTTTTTGCTTAACATCAAAGATCTTACAACAGTAATTATATAAAAAATAAAAATAAAAATATTTTCAATTGCCTCCGCTAAGACATGGAAACTTTTACGTTTGGGAATATGGAACACGTGATGCCGTTCTATTGTTCGATGTTTTGAAAAATTCTTTTGAAACGAATGGTTAGTTTGACGATTTTTACCTGAAGAAGGACCCAAGAGGGGTCTGAAAACGTTAGTAATGTTAAATTTATTCACATCGGTTAAAGGTTTCGGAGGTACGTAGTATTTAGTAAACTCGGTGTGTAGTTGTACGTTATTATCAAGTTTAAGTCATTTTATTCAACTTTACGTCTATCTGCCACAAATACTGAAGTTGTAATATCACTAGAAAGCATTAAAGCAAATAAAATCATATTAAAATATGTATTGGGTTGAACCAAAAGTTTGTTCGGGTATTTACATAATCGCTCGTCTGCGGCACCTCTGTTGTGCTTATCAAGTTTTAACTTGTTTAGGTTGACATTACGAATATCTGCATATTTATTATGTAAGTTTAATTACAGCTACTTTTTGAAATTTTGTTAACTTTTAAGAAAAAAAAACATTAAAATGGAAGATAAGAAGGTGCATTTTCGACATCTGATGCTCTATTATTTCCGAAAAGGAAAAAATACAACAAAAACTCAAAAAAAGATATGTGCTGATATGGAGAGGATACAGTTACTGATCAAACATGCCAGAAATGGTTTTCAAAATTCAGGGAGGGAGATTTTTCTCTCGAAGATGCACCTCAGTCAGGATGACCTTCAACCATAGAAGATGAGTCCATAATGGCTTTAAATCAAAATGATCGGCATAAAACAACTCGAGAGATAGCCAACATCTTAAAAATATCCCAAACATCTGTTGTCAGACATTTGGCTAGCCTTGGATACACTTCCCATTATGATTTCCCATTATGTTTGGGTTCCCCATAAGTTAAGTGAATGAAACCTTATTGAGCATGTTTCTGTATGTGATTCACTTTTAAAACGCAATGAAGATGATCCCTTTTTAAAGCGATTAATAACAAGTGATGAAAAATGGATCGTTTACAACAATATTCAACGCAAGAGATCTTGGAGTAAGCCAGGTGATCCTCCAGTGCCACAACCTAAAGTTGGTTTGCATCCCAGAAAAGTAATGATTTCAGTTTGGTGGGACTGGAAAGGGGTTCTTTATTATGAACTTTTACCCAACAACCAAACAATTAATTCCAATAAATATTGTCTCCAACTGGATGAACTAAAGGCTGCAGTGCATCAAAAACATCCAGAACTTGCAAATCGACAGAGAGTGGTATTCCATCATGATAATGCAAGACCGCACATATTGTTAAACGTGTGCCAAAAACTTCTAGACTTTAACTAGGATGTTTTGAGTCACCCTGCATATTCTAGAGATATTGCTCCCTCAGACTATCATCTTTTTCGTTCATTGCAAAATAATTTAAATGGCATAGAATTTCAATCTCTAGAAGGTATCAAAAATCACATTGATAATTTCTTCAATCAGAAACCCACCCAATTCTTCACAGATGGAATTATGAAACTACCTGTCAGGTGGCATAAGGTTATTGAACAGAAGGGTGAATACATTGTGGATTAAACGTTTTTATTTATTTCAAAATAGTATATTTTATTTCTTTCTAAAAACCAAATGAACTTTTGGTTCAACCCAATACATTTACAGTAAATGTTAATATAACTATCATAAATCCTAGAGAACGAAACATGAAAACATCTGTGTTTCTGTGTTGTTGTCTTATTTAGAGGTCTTTAAGTGCCCAATATTGGTGTTTTCCACAGTAGCTCCAATATCTACCGCATTGTCAGTGCCACTCAATATTGGTAAATTTAATATAAATTAGTTTATTTTTTACTGTCACAAGATAATTTTAATAACTGTGTTTGTTATTTAACCTTAATCGCATTATGTAATTTATTACAGATTTCTATATGAAATCTGTAATAAATTACATAATGTGGTTATAAAAAAATATTAATTTTAAGTAATTCAAAGTATGTTCAAATATGATAATAATCACATATGTATTTATATTTTAGAAAACACAAGGGAAGCAGCACTTCCATAGCTTCCAATAATGGCACGCTACTGAGTTGTACTATGTATTATCTGAAGATCTGTGTCAAAAAGTAGTCGTCAACACAAAAATGAGCTTCTAATCATGACACACCAGCTGTCATATTAAACACATAAGAAGAAAATTTTCAGGCTTTGATTAAGTTTATACCAATTCTGTTCTAACCTTGTCAAGAATAAATGTTTTATACTTAAAACATAAGGTATGACATTTTATGTGCAACCCTTTACTTTGCTATTTGTGGCTGCCACTTTACATTTCATTTTTATTGCTTCTAAACATATATAAGTAAACATGTCTATGACAAACTTCTTCATATGAAATGGACCAAGTCATTAGCTTGCTTACTTAGCTGTGTTACAAGTCTTGCAGTATCAGTACTGTAGTGGCTAACTTACAGTAACCACTTTTACTGTAAGTTAGCCATAAGCAGTTTTATCCAGTAAATGCATCCTTTACTTCTGCCTACACTATTGGCATCTTGCCAACAGATAAACAATATACTAAATGAGAATAATGGCTATCAAGAAAATCATGTGAAAACATTAAGTTATACATAATTTAAAAAATATTAACTGTTTATATAGACCTATGTATAATTGCACATTCATTAATAATAACAATACTTTATGAAGTATATACAGACCTCTATATACATATATTAATTACGTTTATGTTCAATAATGAGTGAATTTTAAATGGACACATTCATAAGAATCTTTCTCACTATAATTAATTTGATTATGATTATTAAACATTTTGATACAATTGCATTTGGAAGTAGGCTGATTTTAGGGGACTATATCTGGCGAAGGGTCACATATAGAGGTGTGGTTTCTTTCACTTTTTTGCTATTATGGGCTTGTTCTATAGCTCTGTTAAGGTCCCAACAGTGTCTTTAAAGGTCAATTACAAATGCATAACTATAACTCATAAATAAACTCCCAAGTAAAATCTAGTAGAAGTTAATTTTAAGTCAGTCGTTTATATGCTAGTATATACACAAGGTACCTAAAGATAACTTCTACTAAATGGCAGAACACGTTTGACAGTTTGTTTATCTTTAAATCGTTAACGAAAGTTGATTACTTATTGGTTTAGACTCACCGAATGAATTTAAGAAGTCTGCGATTTTCTTTATACTAACAGTTATGATTTCCACATATTCTCTATTGGCCCAATCTTGTTGGATTTGTTTCTGGATAGCTTCTCTCTCGATCGTCGCCATTTTGTACTTTAGCGCCCTCTAAGAAATTTTTTACGAACACGTGCTGCCATGTCGGACTTACAGATATCGATAGTTACATCAAAATCACGAATACCACGAATAAATAGAAATTTAAAAAAATCAAAACTATTTTTAAAAAATTCAATTCACTCCGAGGGATGAGAAATTTGGGTTCAGATCGTTCACGAAAATTTCGGATATTTCTCAAAAAAGAATGGAATTTCTTTTTGTCCTTCCTCGAAAAGAGAAAATATTAACAAATTTTATGTTTTTATAATGACAAATAGCAGTTTTGCTTAAGTTTTCTATTATTCATTTTATTTCATTAATATACATCAATCCAAAAATCGTTGACAATGTAAGGAATGGCGACAAAGAAACAGAAAATTTAATTTTTATTAAAATAACTGATATATTTGAAACGAGACAAAGATAATAATTGTATTACCTTAGCTACTATCTTTAAATAGTAGCTAATTAAAATAATATATAGCAATTTTATTGATATATATTATTCTAATTAACTATCAGTAGTATTGCCACCAGGCCGGTTTTCACCCGGACAAGCCGGTTTTTAAATTCATGGTCTGGATTAATTATTAATTTGTGCAGTTTTCATAGAAATTGTAAAATTATGATGAAACAAAATAAATTTATAAAAATATTTGCGAGTGTTTTATTTTAACGGTTAATTTAAAGATAAACTTCAAACCCCCCACCCAAATTTATCCCTAGGATAAGAGTGACAGAAAATGTACTTTTAAAATTCTAACTTGTAAATATCTCTGGCAAATATTAAGTTTGCTCCAACACCAGTCCCTAACTGGTTTAAAACTGGCCAACGCATTGTTCAGTTCTTGGCTGTAAAATGACATTGCGCATGTCTCGTACGGTTTCAAATTCAAACCAGTCAGGGACTTGTGTTGCAGCAAACGTATTGTAAAGCGAATGTGACAGTTTCAGTTTACAAGTTTATAATTTCTGTTTTAATTATTTAATATGACAACTCAAGAAATTGAAAACCTATAAAAGAGGAAGCGAACTTGTAAATTTAATAAAGATTGATTGACACAAAACGAATTTCAAAAATGGTTATGACCTGTTCGAGACAGTGTTGCAGAATGTGGCAACACTCTTCATGTAACCTATTAGGATTTTCGTGCTAAACGTGTTTTCCAACATTTTGCAGTACTTTGAAGTATTCTCCTGAATTCTTTCGAAGGATTTTGACGCTCACTGTAATAGCGACAACATAGCCATCAATGAGATGCCTATTGACTCGTTGTTTTGTATCAATTAATTTTGGAGTACGGAACTCGCGGGAGTGAGAAGCCCTTGCTAGCGGTTTTCCCTCTTTCCGTCCTGTGGGTGCTAAAAAGCAAAATAGCCTTTTTATTTGGCCTTTGTGGGTTTTGTCACAATGGGTATGTTTTCAAGAGCACAATAGGGGTTCATATTTTGAGTTTCTAGAATGGAATGGATTATGAAGGACCTTGCATATCTGTTTCTCGAATTAATAAATAAAAAATTTCTGGAAAATTTTTACGATAATTTTTTATTGACGTAACTTCATTCATTTCTCGTTCATTCGCTTTAATTTTAGCAATTTCATTTTCAATAGATAAAGTGGCAAGCGATTTTTGAAAGGTCGAAAAACCTCAGGAATTTTTCGTGGGCAATTTTTCTGTTTCAGAGAAGTAGAGATTTATCCCTCACCGCCTAGTTATTCCTATTATGAGCATGATGAACCCATAATGGGTAAGAAAAATAGCCCCTCTTAGTACCAAGAAGTCGAAAATTAAAAAAGGGGCAATTGATGTCACATGTTATTGACGTCCACAAATGGCTGAGTGTATAAAACCGCTAAACACTAATAGTCGGTCGCAGGTTGGCACCTAAATAGGAGACAGTTTCTTATAGAAAATCGGGAGGCACGTCCTTGGCAGATAGTTGTATTGCCTTATTCCATCGATTCAGTCTAGATGTTCTTGACAAATGCACGACTGTAAATAATTTTTAATTTGCTTTAATTTTAAGAATGACTTTTCTGCTGAAGTAACCGTTACTGGGGTTAATTTAATTTGAGGTGGTTCAATAAGTAAATTTTCCGCGTTTGGTAAATTGTCACAATTAAATAAATTTTTGTTAATTTTACATGGAATGTTACCAATATCCTTAACTACTACTTTACATAATCACGTTCAGTGTTCATACATTTGTTCCATTTCCTCGTCAACTTGTCAAACCTGCGTAGAACGTAGAGTTCTGACTTTATAAGTATGAGTTTATAAGTTTAATAGCATCAATACTCCTCGTATACAAGCTACCATGCCAAATTCTGTTTCTTAATCTTTTACCCTTTTCTGAGATATTAAACGAAATAGAAGCTCACACGCGAAATTTTTCCCTTATTTTTGTTCAGGCGATTTGGAAATGACGAGATTTCGAAAAACCCGGGGGGGTCAAATTTGATACGATTACAATACTTTCCTGTGTTGTTAGGACAGCCGGGAAAGTAAAAGTGTCCATTAAAGTATACCATAAAGAGTATATTCCCTCTCCACTTTTTGAGGAGAATACTTATTAAAATTAACAATTGTTATTTCAGATTTAGTATTAATAAGTAAAAATAATAAATTTTTAGGACATTTTAACAAGAACTTGAGTTAGAAACCTCACAAACGATGGATAACGAATTAGGATAACGAAATCTTTTCGATCGTGAGGGAGGGATAAATATATTTTTATATGCATAATGTTCAACTTAAAAGTTATTAGCCTATATGGTGTTTGAGGCATTCAAAAATCAAAAATAATAAAATTGATTTTTGTATAAAATAATTATTTTCTCCACACTTATTGTTACAGAGAAATTAAAAACCAAAGTAGTCTACTCTAATTAAAAATACACTTATGTATTATTTTTATACAGAATTTAATTTAAATAAGACCATAAACTAATAAAACTGTAAGAGTCATTAATATTTTTATTCTTTAATTAACTAGAACTGTTTGAAGAAAATTAATTGCATTGAATAAAGAAAGGCATAAAAACACTAACATATCTTAATTATAATTTAGAATTGATGTTTATATTTAAAAAAATTAATTTTATAGTAGCTCATACCTATGTATTTTTATTACTTTCCTAAAATACATTTTACAAAATATCTTGATATCTCTTGGCCTCTTTGTGCTCTCTTAGCGGCAAGGGGCCTAAAACTACAAAAAAAAAAGAAAAAAAATATCTTGATATCTATTAATATATTGACAATTCTAAAAATTATAGAAAATTCTTCTCCACTGACAGAATCTAAAAGAGAGTAAAACTTTTATAAAACATTGTAAATTCTTTTTCATATAAACTTGAATATATGAAATTTCATCTAATACATTTACAACCAGAAACTGAGAGATGACAGAGGCCTGGGATAATCATAAATATTAGTCCCTCCTTTTCATAAGCCATAATAATATACGAATAAAAATCAATAAAACAAAACTTTTATCACTTTTCACAAGAAACTTCAATTTACAATACTTTCTTATCATGTCATTACACCAAAGACTAAATTTGAGGCATTTATATGCCCAGAATCAGAGCCAAATGGTTCTGCTAGCCTCTTTATCCAGGAATATTCTGTTACATAGCATAAAACATAACAAAAGGTATATATATATATATATATATAGAAATCTATATTTCCTTTAAAATAATTGTAGTTTCATCCTGAATTACATATAAATTAAATTTTTACATAATTGTAACAAACCTGTTTCTATACAATCATTGAAACAAACGTTTATATTACCTTTTTACACATTAAAACTGCTCATTGTAATTAAGAAATGTTCTAAACTAATTTAAAAATTCATCACCTAATCCATTAATTAGGTCAATAATCACTCAAATTCTAGTGAATATCAAAAATTAATTAGAAAAGAGAGAAGTAAACTAGAAAAAGTCTCTGAGAGACCGAATCGGTTATAGAGTGATAAAATCGTATTTCGAAGACGTAATTTTGTATGTATTTATTGGTTTATATTTAAAAAATAACGGATTTTTCTAGCAGTAGCGAGGTGTTTATATGTCGGATCCGCAAGAGAAGTTCGTGTTTCCCGGCACGTGTAAATCACGTGATTGGAGAAAGAGAGAGAGAGTCGGAGAGAAGATTGCGAGTACATAAAAATTAGAACTAGATAAGGAGCGAAGAGAAAGTAGAGGAAGGAAGGAGGTGCGGTCGGCCGCTCCCACAAAAATCGTCTGCTGCTAATTAGCGACGAGCGACTCTTCTACTCGACCATCGGCCTGTGACTGGTCGAAATTCGGACGAGGCATGCGCAAATGCGACGTCTGGTGGCCATTCCGTGCTCGAGCTGAAAGGGGGAGAGAAACGTCGCGCTCCAAGCAGACGCTAAATCGAAAGAAGTGCCGCACGTTGCCGACTACAGCCGTCATCCACGTGTCTATCGTGCGTCTTTATTCGTAAGTGGTTAGATTTTTAAAGCGTCGGACGAATTTTAACCGTTTTGAGGGACTAAAATCGTTCGATCGAGCGTCAGAGCGGTAGAAGCAAAATGGCGACCGCTTCACCGAACACGGCCGCCAACTCTACGCGTAGGAAGGGCGGGAAGCGTCCGCCGACCGATCCGACCAACGGTCCTTCGGCGCCGTCCGTCAACGAAGCAAGCGGATCGACGGCCAAGAAAGCCAAGACCGAAACGTCGACGGCGCAGAAGAATCGGGCGAAGAAAGAAGGAGAAGGTGAGACGATTTTCCACTTAAATAAGCGCTTAGACAAAGGAAAAGCTCGATGGCTGAAGCCATCGTTCACTCCCCGGACGAGGGAGAAGCAACGGCCGCATTGGTCGACAGACGACGCTGGAGCGCGATTGGCGATCCAGCCGGAGATGGCCTGCGTCAGCGGTGGGGATGGGGGACTCCACAGCAGCTTCCCGTGCTGCCTGCCGGTGCAAGGACGAGGCGATGCAGGTGCGCACCGCGGTGCCTTCCACTCTGACCCCGCCGCCGCCGTCGGGCGACTGTCGGTCGGCCGCATCCGCTGTCGCTCGCGGCGCTTGCTACACCGCCCGCCCGCCTGCCTGCCTGCTTCGTACACTCGATACGGCCGACGCCGATGCCATCCTGTCGTCTGCTTCCTCTCGCTCTCTCTTTCTCCCTCCGCCTCTTTACTTCAAATCTGCGCGCTGCTCGCCCGTTTAATTTAATTCTTGCCGATTCCTTTGCACCCTTTATTTTAATAAAATACAAATCTTATTTCGTGATTTAACCAACGATTTTTTTTTATATTTTTATTATTTTGTTTTTCTATTCGGGGTCAAATTCTTAGACCGTCCGGGACGGTGACTGTCGGCGGAGACGGAAGGAGTGTTTGTTTCTCCGCCCACATTTTTGGATGGTCTCTCTAGCCTCTCTGGACTCTTTAGGCTTGAGATTCTCATATAGGATGGTCTCCATTCGTGGAGACAGGAGCGTTTTTGGACGGACTCCGTGCTTTTCTGAGATTGCAATTTTATGCACCTTCTCCGATTGACAAGAACGGGTACGAGTCCCAGTGTGGCCCTGTCGATTCTTTTTATTGCGTGTTTTAAATCGTTATTTGTATTTGGTCAAATTAAAAAATGTCCCACCGATGGAGTCAGTGGGACATTTTCCACAGTGGTTTCTCTTTAATATGTTGAGTTGGTGTGAATGTACTGTACTTTAAGAACTGGTTTCATGTAAAATTTTAATGTGGTAATAAAATGTTTAATAAACTAGTGGTAATCGTTATGATTAATAATAATTTAATTGTGCATTAATGCAAAAAAAAAAAAACAAATTGGAATAAAGCAAAGATTCATAGATCGTTCATACTGGATGTGAAAAATATGTTATGATTTTGATTTATTGGACTGTAGTAATTATATGGTTTACGTCAGAATTATCTATATTGCCGAGTAGTTTGAATGAAATTTTTAAAAAAGTTTAATAAAGTTTTCTGTAAATGAAACTTGAATTGTTCTAAATATATGTATGAAATGAATGAATCTTTGTTTTAATGAATGTTTGTAAACTATATGTGATTACCATACTCTTCTGATTTAAAACGTTAAAATTTATATTTGATACTATAGAATTCCTCATTTCCCATTCAATTAAAATTGGTGTTAAAAATTTATTTTCTCTGTTAAAAGAAATATTGCAGCTAGATAATTTTTATAAAGTGTATGTGTATGTATATAAAAACACCTTAAGTGGAAGTAACTTAAAAAAGTTTCTATAGATGAGAATATAAAGGTGTACACACACAATAACTTAGTTCTATGTGTACTGTAACTTCTACATATTAAATTTTCTGCTTTGTGAGTCTAATTTGATCTCGAAAAGCAAAAAGCTGGAACTAATGGATATAGCTTATAGACAAGTGAAGCACCACTGCCATTCAATCTTCTTTCTGTCTAATATTGATTCAAATTAATAAATGTGTAATAACCTCTGATACTGATTGTTTATTTTTTTTATACTAAATATGTAATTTTGTTTCTAGTGGTGGAAATAGAGAACAGATTATAAACAAAATTAATGTTTTCTCTACATAAATGTTAATGTTCAGTGGGGATAGATGTTCTAATGGTGTTGTCAGTCGAGTGATTGTACTTCACTTTTTGTTTTTTAATTTATTCACTGCATTTGTGAATAGAGAAACAACCTAATATCATCCTATGTTTGTTTGCACATCTATAGCTTTGTGAATGGCTTTTTCTTGGTGGAATATTTGTTTCTATGGCAACTACATTTGGATTCAAATATTTTCTCACTGTGAAAATTTAATAGATTACTCTAAGTAATTAATTGTTAAATTTATTATAATCTTTGTATTTCAGTTTACTTACTTCAGATGCCACGACTCAGTTTAAAATTGATACATCTTGTTTCTTTGTTATTTTTGTCCTCTATATGGTGGTCATGTTAAAAGTCTTGATTAGATTTTTCTGCTGTTCTCTATCTTGAGCAAAAATGGCAACTTTGTAAGCTGCCGTATAATTATATATAAAATGCCAGTTTTAAAGAAAATTTATACAGTTTTAAAGAAAATTAATTAACAAACTTTAGCGGTTTGGTTAAAAGATGTAATGATTATTGAAATATTACTCTATTATTCAGTCAAAAGCAAAGTATTAGTTTAGTGTTCAGCTGACAAAAGTTATAAAACTGGATGGAGAAACATCCAGTAACATGCCAACAAAATCAAAGTATTCAACAAAGGAACATGAAAAGGATTTAAATAGCTAAATTAATTAGCTTTTCAGGCTATAATTAAGCTAATGATACTCACTATATCTACTGTTTGCATGACGATTTTTCCTAGAGATAGCTACAGTGGAATCTTGTTTTAATGGATTGTGGAACAACAGATTTTTTCTCCAGGTCCCATCAAATTGATGTAATTTTATCTCTAGTGGATCCGTAACTTGGAATAACAGATTTTTTTCTAGCTCCATCTTCAGTAAACATCATATTTTTTCAGCCTTTAATTAATAATTGGATGTTTCTGTATACTGAATTAAAAAAAATATGTTGCATGCTGTCAAACTAAGTACATACATAATCATCACTGTTCTCACTGTTAACATTGCAGCTGTGCATTAGTGTCCTTCTATAGTGTGTTGATTAGCAGAGGGAAACTACTTCTGGCTTAGCACTTCCAGATATGCACGTGTGCCGCACCTTTATTGAAGACACGTGATTGGGAATATAGCCCAAGCGTAGTGCCAAAATTTAGCAAGGCCTTAGAGTCTTTCCAAGTTGTGAAGACCTTCCTGATGAGTTTTAATATAAATGAACAAGATGTATATAACATTGATAATATAGAGGGCTTGTTATACTCAATGGGCAGTAAAACATCATCAAAGCAAACCAAGATGGTAAGTTTTTTAACATATGAAGTGCTAATGATCATATGTACAGTATTTTGTTGCTTTTTGGCTTATGATGTATACTAGGGTTTCTCCCATTACCGACCCTGAAATTCGGGCAGACTTCCAAAACACCAAAGTAATCGGACAGGCATTTCATATTGATCACATCTGTCACCTGGAGGCCTGGGAGATTTATAAAGCCAACATTGGGGGCACCTGCATCAACTTTAAAGATGGAAAAATGATCACGCCGGCATGGAGATACTTATTCGAAGAATTCCAACTGGGACAAGTAGAGGGGTGAAATGCGATACATGCATTATTTACATCTTGGGCGTCATCGTTCCAACAGTCAAGAGGAGACACTGTTTAGTCACCACCTGAAGCAGACCTCGGTGGAGGTCGAAAACGTTTGTGAAGATTGTTATAGGACACAACACTGTTATAAAAAGATTTTGTGGATTGTTGTTACTCAATGCAGTGTTAAGATTAGTAGTCATTTTGTGTTAAGTTTTTAAATTTTTGCTTGTTATGACATCCCACAGATTGTCAATAATCAATATGTATTTGTGGCAGGACTCTGAAAATTTTTTACTTGTCAGAATCTGTAATATCTTGAATAATTGTGCCAATGCTGTCTTAATTTTAACTATGTCCAGTAGCTTCAGTAACTTCATTATGCCAGGTGCAATTGGGCAAGTATAGAAAAGAGTACAAAGTCCGCAAGTATGAAGTTTTTCTTCATAAACCTGATTATTAATGCCAAACAAACTGCCGAATTATCGGGCTGTAAGCTTGAAACTGCTATTAAAGCAGCCGAGGTAGACAAATCAAGAATACTAGACAGCAAAAGAAATACTGTAACACATCTTGAAAATGAACTAGAAATCTTGCAGGCTACAGGTGAAAAAACACATAACATCCAGCTTCTCTTAAATGTTTGAAGACGATTTTACCCACATCAATTGAATTGAAAAGGGCATTCTCGGTAGCAAGACTTTTCTTTAGTAAAATAAGAATCAAATTGAATGATCAAAATACTGACCATCTTTGCTTTTTAAAATTATATAAAAATTTACAATAATATTTCATATTATGTTTTATATAAAAAATGAAATTACATTTTAAGTTAGAAGTTTGATATAAGTTCATTTTTTTCTTTAAATTTTCAACTCAATTCAAAGGCATTTTTTTTTTTATTGTAAGCGGTTTCCAACAAAAGTTTAATAAATTTTTTTCTATTTGTGAAAATTTCTATGTAATTCAAATGTAATTTTTAATACAGTACATATTTTACACAGCATTATCAATATTATGATTTTGGAGGTTGGAGTATGCATTAAATCAGCGGTCCCCAACTTTTTTATTGCCACGGACTGGTCAACGTTTGATAATTTTACCGTGGCCGCTGAGGGGGACGTTGATTTTTTATATTTTAGATTGTTTTGATTTAATAATTTTAATTTAATTGTATTTAAACATGCCTTCAAAATAAAATACAGTTACACCAAAAATGAATATAAAGCAATTTAACATTTTAACTCACTAGAACACTAAATCAATGAGAACCCTGAGCTTGTTTGTTTGCAACGAGACGGTTCCATCTGGGAGTACAGTAGAACCTCGATTATCCGCCCTAATTGGGGACTGGGGTTGGTCGGATAATTGAAAAGTCGGATAACCGAAAAGTATGAAAAAAATCCATTATTAGTGTAGTATATTATTATATCCCATGTAATTAGTATATTAGTATATCGCTATTAACCTATTTTGCGTTGAATTTTCATCGATGTTAAGCCTAACAAAAATTTTTTAAAATAATAATCGTCGCTATTGTATCGT